AGTCTACTGTATCTACTGAGTCTACTGTATCTACTGAGTCACTGTATCTACTGAGTCTACTGTATCTACTGAGTATCTACTGAGTCACTGTATCTACTGAGTCTACTGAGTTAGAGTCTGAGTTGAATCTGTTTGAATCTGTTTTACTGACTGTTTCTTACTGTCACTCTGTTTCTGATGTGTCTGTTGCACTGCTTCCATCTGCTGTGACCATCTGTGACAATAAAGCCTGAGGTGAATGAATGAGTTACTGAAGAGTCTGGAGGAAAGACCAGGTCCTGGTTCAGATCAGCTGGTCCTCAGACCTACACAGATGTTCTTCTACACTCAGAGGTAATGGGTCTGAGGACCTGGTCTTTACACCAGCTTCACACACACCCACGCACACACACACATACACACACACACACCCACACCCACACATACACACACACACACCCAACCACACACACACCCACACACACACACACACATACACACACACACACCCACACCCACACATACACACACACCCACCCAACCACACACACACCCACACACACACACACACATACACACACACACACCCACACCCACACATACACACACACCCACCCAACCACACACACACCCACACACACACACACACATACACACACACACACCCACACCCACACATACACACACACCCACCCAACCACACACACACCCACACACACACACACACATACACACACACACACCCACACCCACACATACACACACACCCACCCAACCACACACACACCCACACACACACACACACATACACACACACACACCCACACCCACACATACACACACACCCACCCAACCACACACACACCCACACACACACACACACATACACACACACACACCCACACCCACACATACACACACACCCACCCAACCACACACACACCCACACACACACACACACATACACACACACACACCCACACCCACACATACACACACACCCACCCAACCACACACACACCCACACACACACACACACATACACACACACACACCCACACCCACACATACACACACACCCACCCAACCACACACACACCCACACACACACACACACATACACACACACACACCCACACCCACACATACACACACACCCACCCAACCACACACACACCCACACACACACACACACATACACACACACACACCCACACCCACACATACACACACACCCACCCAACCACACACACACCCACACACACACACACACATACACACACACACACCCACACCCACACATACACACACACCCACCCAACCACACACACACCCACACACACACACACACATACACACACACACACACACACACACACACACATAGACAACATGTGCTTCAAACTGCAGTTGAAGATTATTATTACTGTGTGTGTGTGTGTGTGTGTGTGTGTGTGTGTGTGTGTGTGTGTGTGTGTGATCTTACCATGTTGTGTACAGTGTGTAGTCAGTAGTTGTATATTCCAGTGTGAAACCATGGTCCCTCTGTCTGTCTCTGTCCCTTGTCTCTTCAGGTCTGACTCTCACTCTCACTCTCACTCCAGCGTCTCTCACATTAGGCTCCACCCACCAGCTGTCAGTCACTCCCTCGCCTCCTCCCCTCCCCCTCTCACCTCGCTGTCTCTCTCTACTGGTGACTGTCAGTCTTACAGCTGCTCAATCTGTTTTATTCTCTTCCCCAGTTTCAACTTTATGGTCAGTTGATCAATGAAAAGTAAAAGTTTTTAAAAGAAATTTGAATAAACTCAAATTTAAAGAGAAATAAATCAAAAGATTAGTGGAGTGTTACGTGTGGCCCTGTGCTGCATCTCTTCCTCTCTCTCACTGCTGCTGTTATAAAGGCAAAAATGAAATGATTTATAAAGAAATGATCATCATCAGTAGTTCTGCTCATTCATTCTCTCTCTATCAACTCAGTGTCTAATCAATGTCTGAGTCTGAGTCTGAGACTGAATCTGAGTCTGAGTCCAGTCTGAGTCTGAGTCCAGTCTGAGTCTGAATCTGAGACTGAGTCTGAATCTGAGTCTGAGTCTGAGTCCAGTCTGAGTCTGAATCTGAGACTGAGTCTGAATCTGAGTCTGAGTCTGAGACTGAGTCCAGTCTGAGTCTGAGTCCAGTCTGAGACTGAGTCCAGTCTGAGTCTGAGACTGAGTCTGAATCTGAGACTGAGTCCAGTCTGAGTCTGAGTCCAGTCTGAGTCTGAGTCCAGTCTGAGTCTGAGACTGAGTCTGAGTCCAGACTGAGTCCAGTCTGAGACTGAGTCTAGTCTGAGACTGAGTCTGAGTCCAGTCTGAGACTGAGTCCAGTCTGAGTCTGAGTCCAGTCTGAGACTGAGCCCAGTCTGAGTCCAGTCTGAGTCTGAGACTGAGTCTGAATCTGAGTCTGAGACCAATCTGAGTCTGAGTCCAGTCTGAGTCTGAGACTGAGACTGAGTCTGAATCTGAGTCTGAGTCCAGTCTGAGTCTGAGTCTGAATCTGAGTCCAGTCTGAGACTGAGTCCAGTCTGAGTCTGAGTCCAAGTCTGAGTCCAGTCTGAGTCTGAGTCCAGTC